CTTAAATCGCCAGCACCGCTTGTACCAACCACCTCATCCACCGTCTCCTCAATCCACTACCACCACCACCACCATCTGCACACCACAATCGCCACCGCCAATAGCAAAGTTCCTAAACCAACTATTGCTACCACCACCAACAAATCCACTCAAAAAACTCCTACGCACCACAAAATCAAAAGAATGGTGAAATACAACTTGGAGACTAGAAGGCCGACGAGAGGAAAATGTAGAGGAACTCGATTTGCCCTTGGGTTCGATTGGGAGAAGTGATGCCACTCTTTGCGGTGGAGGTAAGTCATCGGAGATCTGCCAACCAACGGTGGAGGTAAGACGCTGGAGAGCTGAGCACCACCGATGGAAGAAGTCGTCGGAATGAAGAGAGACGGCGAAGGTAGAGAGAGAGAGAGAAGAAGGGAAAAGGGATTAGAGTTAATGAGGGTGGGTAATGTAAACTATATTAATTTTATAATATTATTATTAATATTAAAAATTTTAATTATAATTTGATTTTTGAATAACCAAACTTTGCATCTGATTTTTGAAGTGGAATCTTCAAAAATATGGATGGATGTAATTTCCACAATTATTAATATCTTAATTTTGTGTGACATTGATTGCACGAAACACTGTTTATTAATTTCCAATAACCCTAATAATGTAAATTCAAGACTAGGCTCAATTTTATTTATTTTTGACAATCTAAGCTCAATTTTAATATTATTACTTCAAAAATTAAGGAAATTATACTCACACGATTTAAAAATATATATATATATATTCTCGTTTTTTACTGTAATAAATGTCTATAAAATTTTTTATTTTTTTAAATTTTGCACTTGTGTTGCCAACTTTCTTCGTCAAATTATTACCATCAACCTTTTACTAATTGCACATCTTGTCCATAATGCAGTGTCAATTCAAAAAATTTAATTAGAAAGGCGTAAAAATCTTATTCATCTATCAAACTTTTAATAAAAAGGGGAATGAGGGTCTACTATTCATATAATAGTAGATGAATCAAATTTTACTATGCATGATTTCATTTTTTATCTTGTTTATATCAAACAAATGTTCTTCCACACATCATCCCACTAGCATTAAAAAAATAATTATATCAAACAAATGCTCTTCCACGCATTATGCTACTAGCATTAAAAAATAATAATAATTTTAGTAAATATAAACTGTCGTGAGTAAAAAAAAAAACTCTTCGCACATGAGTTTTAAAATAATAATAATAATAAACTCGCAATCCATGTGCGGAGTAAAAAAAGAAGAAAAAACTCTCCACATAGTACAGAGAGTTTCAACTCTCCGTACAGTGCGAAGTAAAAAAAAATCTCTTCTCATAATGTGGAGAGATGGCATTCTGTACGGACAGTCTGCACAATCTGTGCAGACACTGTCCTCACAAAGTGCGGACTCTCCGTGCAGTGCGAGTTAAAAAAAAAAAAAACTCTCCGCACAGTGACTGTCACGTGCGTTGCACGAATTTTGCAATTATCGTATTTTTATTAGTGTATGAATTTTAGTTTTTTTGAAAGTTTTTGAAGTAATATCTATAAATATTTTCATAATATAAGAAAATAATTGTAAATTATTTTTACAATTGCATAATAGTATTGTGTCATCTAAAAAAAAAAACTTATATATTCATACTTGAATAAAAAATATACGAGATTATACAAATTATTTTGCTTGTATTCTTTGATAGTGTTGATATGATTGAATTGAATGTGAAAATTATATTTTTAAATTTTGTGTAATTCAATATTGAAAAATTGAAGATTGAGCATCATATTCATATTTATTTATATTTTGTGCTTCATATATATTTAATATTTATTTTATGCTTATGTTGAAAAAAATAAAAATTTGATTTTTTTTTTGAAATTCGGTTTGGTAAGTAAATGTACGGTCTTCTGCATTCTCGGTATTTGTAAGTGCAAAAATCGGTATATTAAAATGCAGTAAGCTGCAAATACGGTAGGTAGAATATACGATAAGTTGCAAATACGGTATACGGTAGGTAGCATATATGGTAAGTTGTTTGCAAAGACGATAGACTGCAAATACAGTAAATTGTAAATACGGTAGACAACATATAAGGTAAGGTGCAAATACGGTAAGTTGTTTGTAAATACGGTAAGCCGAAAATACGATGGGCAATATATACGGTAAGTTGTATATACGGTAAGCTGCATACATGAATTTATAATTTATTATAAATGTATAAAATTTATTTAATATTGAATTTCTTAAGTATTAAATGTTGTAATTCAATATTGTTTCCTTTTTTATAATTGTATTTTCGAGAATTAAAAAAAATGGTTATAAAATTGTTAATTTTTAAATGTGTTTTTTTGTTGAATATAAAAATTATTTTTTTTATGTTATTTGTAAAAAAAATTTATTATAATTTTATTAGCGTAATATGAAGATTTATTTTGTATTTTTATTTTTTGTATTTTGTGAAAAATTTTATTTATGGTGATTGACAAATATTCTTCCACACACGCATCATGCCAACAACATTAAAAAAATAATAATAATTTTAGTATATATAAACTCCACGAGACAAAAAAAATAAATAAATAAAATCTCCGCACATTAGCAAAAAAAAAAAAGACTCCTTAAAGTGCAGAGATATGACAAACTATCTCTCTGCACAGTGTGAAGGGAAAAACAAAAACTTTATGGACTTTATCTGCAAGTTTCAAGAGGTTTTTTCTCAAACAACTTTTGAGCAATGCATTGAACACTTTAATTCCTGGTCTACAACCTGAATGTATAATTTCATTGAAAATTGTATCCGCTTCTAATGTCAAAGAGCTGTTATCAAGCAAGTATAAAATATTGAATTTGGATAGTACCCTAGAGCCTCCATTTGTGAAAGCAATGCCATGGTACTATCAATATCCCTTTCTTTGTACATCCCATATATTGTTTCATTGTATGAATAACAAGAAAGCTCCTTTTCAATACTATAAATATGATTTGCATGCTCAGAAATTGAACTGTGACTAGAATTTAAAGAAGACATAATTGATTTTGAGCCATATTTTTCGACTCTGTTTCGTTGTATATACGAAAAATTTACAATCTTGAAATTTGACTTGTAATTAAGAAATTTGAAAACAACTCTCCACACTGTCCTGAGAGTTTTTTTCTCTCTGTACTGTGCGGAGAGCTGGTTTGTCATCTCTCCGCACTGTGCGGAAAGTTTTTTTTACTCCGCACTTTTTTTTTACTCCGCATATGGTTCAACTCTCTACGCACTGTGTAAACCAACTCTCCGCACTGTGCAGAGAGTTTTTTTTACTCTCCGTATTGTACGGAGAGTTGGTTTGTCATCTCTCCGCATTATGCGGAGAATTTTTTTTTATTTTTTTTACTCCGCACATGGTTCAACTCTCTCCCCACCGTGCGGAGATTTTTTTTCTCTTTGTACATTTTTTTATTTTTTACTTCGCACTGTGCGAAGAGTTTTCCTTTTCAATTTTACAATATTAAATTATACAAAATTTAAAAATATAATCTTCACATTCAATTCAATCATATCAACACTATAAAAGAGTACAAGCAAAATAGTTTGTATATTTCTTATTCAAGCATATTTTTTCTAGATAACATACTGCTATGCAATTGTAAAAATAATTTACAATTATTTTCTTAAATCATGAAAATATTTTTAAATATTGCTTCAAAAACTTTTCAAAAAAATTAAAATTCATACATTAATAAAAATACGATAAATACAAAATTCGTACAACGCACGTGATAGCGACTAGTATTTATAAATAAGGAAGTTAACGAATACAAAATTTTGACAAAATATTCTCTTCATTTCAATGCATTTTAGTAGAATATTTGGATGAAAACAATCATAATTAGAGTCTAGAGACAAGATATCACTAACTAATTGAAGATTAAAAATAAAAATGTGATGAAAAAATTAAAGACATAACTCATAATTATCAAAATGAGCAAATGTCGAAGGCCTGTTGTCACTAAATGTGGTGCAGGTAATAAAATTTTGATAAATTGCATACTGGATCTTAAACTCTTGAAAGTTATGACGATGGGATTCTAAACCTTTAATTCTAACGCCACGAGTCTCAAACCTTTCAAATGCCTTCAACAATGGTGCCTCTTTTTTTATTTTTATTTTTATTTTTAATGGAAAACCTTATATTGACCGTTAAAGCTCAAATTTTGAATAAAGTAGCTGTTAGTTTAATTTAGGACACACCAAAAAAAGAAAAAAAGTAGATCTAATCGATAGTCATTTTCTTTTCTCCACCCATCTCCAACCATACCACAACCGCACCACACCACCTCCATCAACACATCCGTGGACACTACCGAACCATCACACATCACCAACATCCATGAACAAAAAGACGCAGATAGAGAAAAAAATAGAATTAAGAGGTAATTTGTTGTTTTAACTTTAAACTATTAAACCTAGAAAAATGAGAAGATTAACTTTAAACTATTAAACCTAGAAAAAAATAGAATTAAGAGGTCAATTGTTTAATTTCATTTAAAGTTTAAAATTCTTTATTTTTTTTAATTGTGTTATTTTGTGCCTTTTTTTCTTTTTAATAAATTACATGTTGTAATGTTTTGTGCTGTTTATATTTTGGCTTTATAAAGCTAAGAAAAATTTCAAATCTAATTTTAAAAATTGAAGTAGCTCTCGAGTATTTTATACTCTCTACTCTCTTTATTCTCGATAACTATTTCGATAAATTCCATACCCTCCTCATTTGTCAGAATATTCTGTTGTCCATCTAGTGTAACACTATTGATGCTCTAAAGGGTGACTCTACATTAAATTTAATGGGTTAAAAAGTCATATCTTAGTTTGTAAATGAAGAATATGATCTCCAGTATATTCCGAGCACAAAAATGTTAAAATTCACGTCGTCCCACGGAATTATTTCTAACTACTTTATTTTGCATTGTTGGATCTTCTTCCAATTATCAAGTGAGTGCGGGTTGTTGTTGGTAGTGGTGATAGCAATGATATGTGCGAGGAAATTGATTTTACATATATATTTTGTCTTCATTCATTCTATTTTTCTTTCTTTATTCATTTATAATTAAATTAGGATCATATTTTGCCACTCTATCTAGCAACACAACAAAATTCTAAGCGATTAAGGAGAGAGAGGAAGAAAACCCAGCTGTAAACTCTACAGAAATGTCCACCGGAGCCCCCACCAGGGCCTCCGCCTCCTTGCGCGGATGTGTGTGCTGCCTTTTTCTCCTCTTTTCGTTTCTTGCTCTATTAATCCTTGCTATTATCCTTGTAATTGTACTGGCTGTGAAACCGAAGAAACCACAGTTCGATCTCCAGCAAGTGAGTGTTCAGTACATGGGAGTTAGCCCCACCACCCCCTCCTCCGCCGCCGTCTCTCTCACTATCCACATGCTTTTCACCGCCGTCAACGACAACAAGGTAGGCATCAAGTACCGTGAGTCCAAGTTCACAGTAATGTACCGCGGTATCCCTCTGGGTAGGGGCATCGTTCCCGGGTTTTATCAACCTGCCCATAGCGTCCGGCAGGTCGAGACTACTATTGCCGTCGATCGGGTTAACTTGCTTCAATCTGATGCTGCTAATTTGATAAGGGATGCCTCGTTGAATGACAGGGTCGAGTTGCGGGTCGAAGGTGATATCGGTGCAAAGATCCGGATTCTTGGGTTCACTTCACCTGGTGTGCAGGTTAGCTGAACTCAGCTTTGCTCAATAATTATACAATTTTGCTCTCTATTTTCTTGATTAAATTCATTTTCCTCTAATTTGTTGACTGAATTAAAGACAAATGATTAATCTTAAATAAAATTCTTTTATGCCACTCTGAGATTAGATCCCTGTTTGGTTTTAGATATTAAAAAAAATTAAAAAAAATAAAATTTGTTTTGATTTAAATTAATTGTTGATTTTTCCTTGAATTTTAATCAGCTATTTAATTGTACAAAACTAGGCAAGTTGTTGTTTGTCCTAAGTAATGAAGTGAATGTCATATTCACCCATAGCCCTCAAGTAGTTTTGTTGTATATGTCAAGTTTTGCCTCCCCTTATAATCTTTATTTGCAATAGAGTATACTTTTATTTTTGGCCGGACACTTCACACATATGATTAAGGTATATATATTACATATATCGTTTATGTGTCGATATAATATGTATCAAGGAGAGAAAATGTGGACATGGTCGAATGGTAAAATTTCTCAGACAGGATGGAATGGAAAGGGAAAATGTTGAGCTAGCTTAAATTTTTTTTATGAATTGTTTCTTTGCTTTGGTTTCACGTTGCAATCGAATGGAATTGAGCAGGGATCAAATGACTGTGACAGGCACATTATTTCTTTATTTTGTGCCCTTTAGGAATCGACGAGAATATGACATTCACTAAGGCCAATATTGTACATTAGTACTTTAAGAATCTCTAGACGTCATTCCATTTTTTTCTAGACGTGCGATAGCCCTTTATCCATTTTGAGTTGTGCTACACTTACAAACATGGTTTACAAAGTAGGTTGAGAAAATAACATCCACACCAATCATTTCAAAAACAGGTTTTTAAATCATTTGAAATCAACGACCTGGATTTTGTCAACACATCTTTTGTCAACCAACTTTGTAAATTGTAAGGGAACTTTGTACAAGTAGAATTATTGATCTATTTTATATCTTCCGGAGGTTCAATAATTGGCTTTAACACGATATGTATTGACGTTAGAGGTTAAGTAGGAATATGCATCTGATCAGATGTCGTTGATTGCCATTTACAGTCTTTGATCCTTGAAATCTTGGATTTGTATAATGTGTGCTTTCGATGATTAATTGTAATATTTAAGTTTTGCATATATGTACCATGTGATGGCAATGGTTGATTTCAAGTGTCGACTGACACGAATTGTAAATGTGTGACAGGCATCGGTGGATTGTGCAATAGTGATCAGTCCTAGAAAGCAAGCTGTAACGAGCAAGCAGTGCGGATTCGATGGCCTCAGCGTATGAGCCCCGTCCAGTCTGATGCGATTTCCGACTCTTCTTAAATCTCTTTTCCTCTCTCTGTCTCTCTGTAAGTAGAGAGGGAGATGGAGAATTTACCAAGTTAAGAGTTCCACCGCCACCGCCACCGCCAAGCACTGACGCACATTGGTTTGGGCGGAATTCTTAGGAAAGCATAACCTCTAAAGTGTGAAATGTAGAAAAGTTGAGACACTATTATTATAAGGAGATAAGTTTTGGTGTGTGATTGTTGTATACCCACTCCCACTCCCTTTGACTATTATCATTGCCACGTTAGAAGAGAGAATTTGATGCCATTGCCTTCCTAATCATGCTATTTGTACAAACTTAGTTGACAAATTTGGTTTACAAATTACGTGTTGACAACATTTAAGTCAACCATTTCAAAAATGGTTTTTGAAATCAATGAAAATCAATGATTTAAATCTTGTCGACACTTAATTTGTAACCAAACTCTTTCCTTTTTGTCATAGTTTCTTCATCTGATTTGCCAGAATTGTGCAGTCCCAAATTACTATTCTGTAATACTTCTTTTTTTGAAGTGACCGGGTATAAGTTTAATTGTAATAGCATGTGCAATAATAGTTCTCAGTAGAATTTTTCAAATGTAAACCTAGGGAGTCGTGATGAAAGGTTTGAACCGCTCGCCTCGCCTACCCAAACTCGGCAGTTCCGCCGAATATGCAAGCCTCCTGGGGCAAGTTACCTCGCTTCACCGGAAAGTCAGAATAGACGTTTTTGGATAACGGAAATAAAAATTCCAACAAGGCCACACCACCCGTGAAGAACTAGCGACAAAATTCAGCAAACTTTCAAAACTTACAATCGATAAGTTTTGCACCACAAGTGCTGAGGTTCAGAAAAAGAAATTCAGATATTTCATAATCAACTCAAATTCAAAACTGGAATAATTCAAAGTTTATCATAAATTCTTCTGATGCTAGAATAACTAGGCCTTGAGACGACCATAAAACTTCTGCTTCTCCTCTGTTGTCTGGAAGCGTCCATGTCCAAACTTAGAGGAAGTGTCAATGAACTTGAGCTTAATTTCTTCAAGGGCAAGGCGAGAGGTCTGGTTGAGGAGAGACTGACGAAGAGTAACAACCCTTTTCTTAGGACCAACACAGCAACCCTTGATCATCAGAAAATCATCCTTAACCAATCCATAGTGAGGAAATCCACCCATAGGCGTAACATCTTTCTCAGTCCTGCAGTCAGAGAACTCCATGTGAGAAGAGATATACAGTAGATCATATTGTACAGAGCTCATAAATAAGGACTAATTAGTTAAGAGTTTTAAGTTGGTTGAGTTGCGAATATTGAAAACCATGACAAAGTTCAATTGTGAGATTGAAGTGCAGAGAGAATATTTGAACCTGTCAAACTCAGTACTGGCAGTATGTGTCTCATCCCCTGTCTTGCCAAGCCTGTAGATCTTTTTGTTCATTTCAGTCCGGTGATGGTATCCATTCTGACCAGCCCTGGCAACGGTGAAGGAAACTCGAGCAGGGTGCCATGCCCCAATACAAGCAACCTTGCGGAGACCCCTGTGGGTTTTGCGAGGAAGACGGGTGACACCCCAACGGGTTACAACACCTTCATAACCTTTACCCTTTGTCACACCAATAATATCAATCATCTCATCTTTCTGGAAAACAGCATCCACAGGGACCTGCTTCTCAAAGAAACCATATGCAAAGTCAACCTTCTGTGCAATAGTCCCACCATTAACCTGTATCTCCATCAAATGTGCCTTCTTCTGTTTCAGCCCCTTCATCTTCCTTATCTGCATTGTGAACAGTGAAAATTTGATTAGCCTTTGTGATTGTGAAAAAGATGGCCTCAGGCTTCAAGGAGTTAGGAGCAGTAGCCATTTTTAACTGAGGAAGTTCAAGCTTCAACTAAGGAAGCTGAGGATGGAAATAGCAGAGGGCTGTCACCTATCTAGCCTGAATACACCCTCAGTTTTGATTGGAAGCAGTGGGTATGGGGTGCACTGTTAAGGCTCAATTCAGTTTCCTGAATTGCTAAGTAAAATATATATAAAAATCAAGTGCAGAGTCACCGAAATGTGATGCATTATCCCACTTTTTCAATTTAGCCATCCAGCAGAATGATTAAGTATTTCATGTGAATGATAATGCATCAAAGTGTAAACTATCTGAAATACAAATATTAGTTTTAGACCTTGTATGTTACCAGCAAAAATAGTATTCCTTTATGCCACTGTGATTCTATCCACAACAAATTCTTTAGACTACACTTGGCACCATAGTATCCTATTGCACCATTATTCACTATTTTACGAGTGATTTAGCCATCCAGCAGAATGATTAAGTATTTCTTCTATTGCCACTGTACCACTTTCAAAGGTGACCAGACTTGCACATTCCCGTTTCACACGAGTATATGACCAATTGGCATGTTGCTCATCTACTAGAACTCTAAAGATTAAAAAAACTAGGAAATTTAAGAAGATTTAACCTGTCGATACCTGAGTGTGAGCCAAAACACGAATAACAGATGCATATTTCTTCATCTTCTCTAGCTGCGATTGGATATCTTTTTTCCCCTCATCGGTCTCCAGTTTCTTTGAATACTTCGTGAAGGCCTTCTTCTTAGACTTGCACCAGTTCTTGTAAAACCTCCTCTTTATCTCCTCGCTCAGGTGCTGAGCCCAAACAGTGTTAAGGCAGCGAAGACCACGAGGTGTCTTCACATAGCCTACCACTCCAACAATAACCATTGGAGGTGTTTCAATTATGGTTACAGCTTCACAAGTCTCTTTCTTGTGAAGTTCTGCAGTTAAAAGTTCCAAATGAGATTTCTAATTAGATATTATGCGATACAAAACATGGGTATAAAATTTAAGTCCGTAAAAAACATAGCATGCTCATAGAGAACGGGCATAAAATTTATGTCCATAAAAAACATAACATGCTAGTAGAGAACTCTACTGCATCTTTTTTAGTCATTTATGCAAATAATAATTTAACGATAAATCAGCATATGTCTGTACAATTATAATATTCAGGCAACTTGATGAAAATAAATCACAGGCATTCAACAAGAAATTATCACAATTTATTTTTACTTGATCCAGGTTTCTCGACTTCTCTGACAATGTGAGTCATGCCGGCCTTGTAACCCAAAAAAGCAGTTAGCCTACAGGGCTTAGTGGGATCATCCTTAGGGAATGCCTTCACTGCATTATTCAAGACAAAGAACAATGTTATGACCAACAAAATGGCACATATATAGGTTTGCTACCATTCCACCACATAATGAATTGCAATATATATATATATATATATATATATATATATATATATATATATACACACACACACACACACACACACACTTGGATTGTTAAGAATATAGACACATTATAATGACCAAAACCAGGCATAAGCATGATTTGACAAAAGATTGTTAAAAACCTCTTCAGAGAGCGGTTGTCAGTATGGTTAAAGTCCATATTATCATTTTCATTTCCCAGACTCGACTGTTCATAACTAATGAGAAAATAATTTTCACCGAAGTATTAATATAATAATTTTTATTTTTTTTTTAAACTTTTATATTAACGCTGTGGATGTCAAAATTTGATGGCAGATTAGACACTGTTCGTTTTATATCTATGTCTACGTACTTTAGGAAAATATTATTCTCACACCTCCCAACGACACCCAAAAAATTTAAGAACAAGAAAATCATTTTCCCGGCAGATCAAAACTTTATCAACATATGCATTCCGTGCATTAATTTAACCATTTTATCCAAAAATTTCAAGAATATTTGATTTATTCTGAATTTAAAAAGATGCTTACCCTTTCCTCTATGTCGGGCAGCTCGCTTCCTCGGAAGAAACCCGAGTGAACCATGCCTTGGGTGCTCAAACTTCCTGTGAGACATATTTCCTTCCTTCACTCTGAAACAATGTAAGAAAACACACATCAATTTCGCTTCTTCCATAAATGTACAGATCAATAAGAAACGGATAATTGTTACAACCAATTCTGCTTATTAACATGCTAAAAGCATAAAGATCGATGCAGTTGATTAAATTTTGAAAGAAATGGTCGAGTAAATGAATCGAAAATGCAATGTTATATCCTAACAATGTGTAAGAAAGAAATAGAGAGAGACCTGCGAGGAGAAACGGCGTCTTGGTGATGCAGATGTGAACTGAAAAACCCTACTTTAATTAAACCTTTACTTTTGGTGAAAATTTATAGCAGCACTATGGTAGGCCGAAGACAGATAAAAGGGCCACAGCCGTTCTGAGCCCAAGTTTAGATCCATACACAGATTTTATTGAAGTGGAAATTACAATTTTTGTTCAAAAATTAGATGATAATTATTTTTTAAATATTAATAATAACATTATAAAATTATATTTATATACACACCCACACCCAAATCCACCCCGAGCCGTGTCTATTCCATCCCATTACACCCAAACCTTAATTTATTTCTAAGCTTGGGCATAATTTGATCTGAGTTGATTTCGACTCCAACCCAAAATTAAAATCAAATTAGTTGGATTGGGTGAATTTCAACCCAAACCAATCCACACTAACTCTTAAATCGAATTGAGTTGGTTTGAACTTTTAGTCTAAATTGAATTTTTTTTAAAAACAATTGTCCAAGTTTTGGATTCAATTAGATTACAGTAACTAAAATGACTTTATAATACAAGAAGGGAAATTTTACCATTTAGCCTAACTAGACAATGCATTTGGTTAAATGGTCTTTGTCCAATAATAAAGACAATTAAAAAAATATTTTAGTTAATAAAATGACAAAATTCTCATTTAGTTGTTAATTTAATATCCTCCATTTTTACTCATTTCAGCCGTCACTTCTCTACCAAATTCACCTTAAAATCCTATTTTTAAAAAAATAAAATAAAATAACATCTTCTTCCCCTTTTCACCTTCTTCAATTTTGGGTTCTCAAAATAACAATCGTCTATTTTCTTCTCTTCAATCACCATTTTTGCTACTCTAAAATTAAGTATTTGAACAAGGGTTTGGTTAGCATATCATTTATATTGAAAAAATACATTTACATTTGAAGAATAAGAAATATCTCTTAAAAATCACATCTATGTTGTATTTTTATTATTAAATATAGTATTAAATAATATTTAGTTGGTATTATTTTCGTATTTAGTGTGCTTTTGTGTTATTTATAAGCATGGGATGTAAGCACTCCAACTAGGATTTGAAATATAGAACACTGCTCAAACCGTTATCTATAAAGTAAAATGACACTACAGTTGTTATTTGCTGTAGTTAGATTTTTCACTGACATAACATAAAATAATGGACTTACTAATGTATATAACACAAAAAAATTGACTAGTCACAGAGAACGATTGAAATGATATAACATTTATATTATTGAGAAGGTGAAAGCATAACTGATCACACTCACATGTGTCGATTAAGTTAATGAACATATCTATCAACTTTTGTACGTGTCATGTACATATTACAATATAAATAAGTTCCACTTATTATTTTTTAGGGAATGAATATGTCATGATTGCTTATACTCGTAATTATACACAAAACAATACGAGTGTAGTTTTCATACCCAGTAATGACACTTGTGTCGTTTTGAAATTTTCACCTATAACTAATTTTTCAACAAAAAAACATTTTATAATAGACTCTCTAATGTATGTAACATACAAAGTTTGACAATGTCATAAATAATGTAAATGAGTTCCACTATTAATTCTCGAGGCATAGATAAGGTGTGGCTATTTATATTGTGTTTGCATATATAGCCCTTGTTTGAGACCCATTTTTTATCAAAATATATTATTGAGTAGTAATTTGATCTCATTTTAACCACTTGTTCTTTAATAAAATAATACTATACACAAACTCATTTTTTTTTAACCACACATTTTTCATCATAACATTATTACAAAATTCATTTTTCGAAAAAAAAGGGGTTCAAACAACCTATAATGGCACAATGGTCTTTTCATTTTAATAACAGAACTTGTAATATTCTGTTGATTTTTCTAATATTTTTTTTAATATCTTTTAAATGTTTGCATTTCAATTATACATTTCTTTTTAGCTTATTGTTATTTCATGATAATAACACGCGTTACATTATTAGAAATATAAGCATCTATGAGAATAACACAAGTGTCGTTACTGAATTTATGAGAGGGAGATGAAAACGATGTAAATGTTGTTATGTTTGTTACAAATTTTAATGAGAACGGAACAAACATCATTATTGAGATTAAAATGTTTATGATTCGTTAGGGAGTCTAATGTTTGAGATCATTGTCCTGGAATAAAATCAAAATATAGGAGAAATCAATAGAACGACACAAGAGCCGTTACTAAAATGAAAGCGACCCTTCCATCGTTCTATATATAAATATAAGTTGAGAAATGTGCTCAATAATTGTCAGTCTAGCCTCCCATTGATGGCACAACTACCGTTATGATTATATATTTGCTTGTAGATAAGAACAACACTTGTATCGTTATTAAGATGAGAACGTCTATAAGAACTTTACAACTATTATTATACTTGTAAATATACTTATCTATGAGAATGACACTTGCATCGTTATTGAGATGAAAACGTTTATGAAAACGCCACAACTGCCTCTATATTTGATTTATAAGTGTCCATGAGAATGACACAGGTGCTGTTTACAATATTTAAAAAGTCCCTGAGAACGGTATCAGTGTCGTTACTAAGATGAAAAGTTCTAAGAGAACAGCACAAGTAACGTACATAAATATAAACTTCTATTATTATTATGAGAATTGCACAACTTAGGGTGTTCAATTCTGAAAACTATTGCATTGAAAACAAATGAAAATAAAGAAGAAATCAATAGAACAACTCAAGTGTCGTTATTGATAATAAAACGACACTTGAGCCATTTTATCATTACCAGTTTAAGCAACCACGACCCATCCCTACCTCGTGAAATAATAAGTTGAACTCATTTAACTTGCAAGGTGGATATGTCATTTATAAAAATTAAGAGATATGCTCATTACTTGTATTTTGTTGAAAATAATAGAATAAGTTGTGCTGATACTGAGATGAAAAGTTCTAAGAGAATGACACAAGTACTGTTTAGAGAATGAAAATGTCATTGAGAACGTCACTTTTGCCGTTACTAAGATTAAAAGTTTTAAAAGAATGACACAAGTGCCGTTATCGAAACTGAATTTTTCCATGAAAACGGTACTTGTGCCATTACTGTAAAGAAAACAACACTTGTGTCGTTCCATCTATAAACACAAGTATAGATAGTCATGATCCATCCATGCCCTGAAACTCATTTTAACTGTAAGATGAATATGCCGTTTGTAAAAATTGAGAGATGTGCTCATTAATTATATTTTCTAACGAATCAATACAATGACTTATAATTTCACTCACTCGATATCGTATATCTTATGTCAATTCAATCGTTCTTTGTCACGTGATCAACCTTTCTAACTTTCTTAAGTTAGGGGATCCATCTGTTGAGGTCGCGACATTGAAAAATAAGCAAAATATTTGAGAAATCTACAAAACAATACAAGAGTTGTTAAACGACACTTGTGTCGTTCTATCTATAAACACGAGTATACGTAACCATGACCCATCCATGTCCCGATAATCAATAGGTTGAACTCATTTCAATTGCAATATGAACAATCCATTTATAAAAGTTGAGAGATGTACTCATTGATTATTTTTTTAATGAATCAATACAATGACTTGTGATTTCACCAACTCAATGTCATATAATCTATGTTAATTCAACCGTTCTCTGTCCCATGATCAACCTTTCTAATTCTTAAGTTAGGAGATCTAATATTTGAGGTTGTTGCGTTGGAAAAAGAAGCAAAATATTTGAGAAATCAACAGAATGATACAAAAGCTGTTAAACGACACTTGTGTCGTTCTGTCTATAAAGACCAGTATACGTAGCCACGACCCATCCATACCTTGAGAACCAATAAGTTAAACTCATTTAGGTTGCAATATAGACATGATATTTACAAAAGTTGAGAGACATGCTCATTGATTATATTTTCTAACGAATCAATATAATGATTTGTGACTTCTGTGATTTCACAAACTCAATGTCGTATAATCTAAGTCAATTCAACCATTATTTATCTCATGATCAACCTTTTTAACTTTCTTAAATTAGGAGATCTAATGTTTGAGGTTGTTGCGTTGGAAAAGAAGCAAAATATTTGAAAAATCAATAGAACGACACAAGAGTTGTTAAACGACACTTTTGTTGTTCAGTTTATAAAGACGAGCATACGTAGCTACGATCCATCCATTCCTAGGAAACCAATAAGTTAAACTTATTTAGGTTTCAATATGAACATGATATTTATAAAAGTTGAGAGATATGCTCATTGATTATATTTTCTAACAAATCAATACAATGATTTGTGATTTCACCTATTCAATATCGTATAATTTATGTCAATTCAATCATTCTCTATTTCATTATCAACCTTTCTAACTTTCTTAAGTTAGGAGATCTAATGTTTTAGGTTGTTGGATTGGAAAAGAAGCAAAATATTTAAAAAATCAACAGAATGACACATGAGCTATTAAACAACACTTGTGTCATTCTGTCTATAAAGACAAGTATATGTAGCCACGACCCATTCATGCCTTGAGAAACAATAAGTAAAACTAATTTAGGTTGTAAGATGGACATGATATTTACAAAAGTTGAGAAATATGCTCATTAATTATATTCTAACGAACCAGTAGAATAACTTATATTTTCATCAACTCGATATCATATGATCCATTTCATTTAAATCGTTCTCTGTCACGTGATTAACATTTCTATCTTATGCATGTTAGTGGGTCCAATGCTTGAGGTCATCAACTTAAAAATAAATCAAAATATAGAAAAAAATCTACAGAATGTCATAAGTACCATTACTGAGAAGAAAACGATCCATGAGTCATTCTGTTTGTAAACATGATTATAAAACGGTCATTGTCCTACTTATGCCTCCGAGAACCAATAAATTGAACTCATTTAAGTTATAAGATGAATATGATATGTATAAAAGTTAAGAGATATGGTTATTATTTATATTTTAATTAATAGTCGAATAACTTATGCTTTCACCAACTCGATATCACACGATCTATGTCATTTCAATCGTTCTTTATCATGTGAACAACCTTTTCATTTTACTTACGTTAGAGGGTCCAATGCTTGATGTCTTTGCCTTGAAAATA